ACATAATATATATATATATATATATATAAATTATAAAAAATATTTAAAAAATTAATATATCCTAAAACAATAACTACAATTATAATTTAATTCTATACAGATTTAAACCTACATTTGATGTTCATTTATAAGCACCAATTATATATGTATTTTTACATTTGATACTTATGATACTTGTTTGATAAATGTTAATTTACATGCATATGTATAGTTAAATATAATTTTAAGCTTTAATACATGAAAAATCCCATGCGTTAACATTAACCAATAGCTGAGTCAGAGCTCTGAATCTGAATAAATTCAGTGTTTTAATGCTTTCATATTCGCATGTCACTTTTTGTATTATTGCAATAGCAAAATAAATAAAATAATAATCGCTTTAAATATATAAAAAATATAAATATCTAAAATCATATATAAAAGAATAATAAAAAATACACAAACACACAAATATATATATGCAGTATACACACATACATATACATACATACTAAAAAAATATTTGAAATCACAGGAATAAATTACATTTTAAATAGTAAAAATATTTCACAATTTTACTGTTTTTGCTGTACTTTGGAACAAATAAATGCAGGCTTGGTGAGCAGAAGAGACCTCTTTAAAAAAACATTAAAAATCTTACTGTTCAAAAACTTTTGACTGGTAGTGTACACACACACACACACACACACACACACTCACATCAAAATGATTACAATTACATCAGCCAGCCCTAGCAAAGTTGCGGCATCATTTGGCTCTAAAATCAGTGAAAATGAGCCCCCGTTTCTAAGTTTGCAGATTCCATGTCACCAGAACCAGCACCATTTCAGTAGAAAAGGAACCGTAGATCCACACACACACACACACACACAAACCAGCAGGCACACTGCAGTTCAATGGGAAACCATAGCCATGCACTCTCAGATGAGGACAGCACTCAGGCCAGACGGTCCTCTCTCTCTCTCTCTCTCTCTGTACACACAGTGTCCCTTTGTGTGTCCTCGACTGGACGGAATAAATAAAGGGACTGGAACACAAGAGTGCCTCAAATTGTCTGTATAAACCACAACACTGAGCGCTACTCGATACCGATCTGTTTCAGTCTTCAGGTTACAGTGTTGAAGTGGAGATTTCACCATTGACCATACACTGACAGACGGATAGCAGTCAGGAAGACTACTAATTGGACTAACTGGAAACTGAGTTTTGTAAAGAAAATCAAACATGTTTACGAAAAAGGATCAGTTGGGAGAAACTAGCTAAAGTAATAAATGAAAATCATCTTAGTTTACCCCCCCCCTTTCTTTCTATTTTTGAACAACTAAAGGAAGTTAAACAAAAGCATTGACTTCATTCTTGGTCGTTTTTCTTACAAAAGGCCATTACGTGACCTCACATGTCCTAAAACAGCAAGAGTCATTTGGACCAGTCCCAGTAAGCTTATTTTTGCTAGATAACTTCCACAAAAGAAAGTCATACAGGTTTATAACACTATAGGGGTGAGTAAATGATGACAGAACATTCATTTTTGGGTGAAATATTTCTAAGAAGAAAGGCAAAAAATTGTATGTCAGTGAAGAAGTTTAGATGTTTTGCAGGAGCGCAAAGAAACAACTTCCTTGTGATAAACTTGCCACTGACAACTACATTTTAACGATGTAATGATACTTCCCAAGAGAGAGGTTTACAGTTTGTTGAGTACAGCAAGTGCAAAAACTGGAAAAATGCATTAAAAACAGTCCATAAAAACAAAACAGACCTGAGTAAAAGAAACAGAACTTAAAAACCTAGAAAAAAAGGTCATATTATACTGTGTTTGAGTCCTATCGGCAAACAGAATGCATCCAAAAATGTTTCTCATTCTGTAAACAATCGGCTAGATTATGCTAGAAAAGATCCAATGTAATTTAAGTGTTTGCCAGCAACAATCTGTGGATTAAAATGCATGAGTTTCCAGAAGCCATGCAATCCAGATTAGCCTCAGGCAGAGCATAAATAGCAGTTCAGCTCCAAAATCAAAAAAATCTGGGACTGGGGGGAAAAAGGGTTGGTCTCCAAAATTAAAAAAAGCAGAGAAACTATATTTGATTTCACAAAAAACCAGTCAAGCACCTCATGCAAGATGCCGTAGTCATCCAAAAGGAACTGCACTTCACTGCAACACATTCGAGGGGAGGGGCCAAAAAAGTTCAAACAAGCTCAAAAAACAGAACAAAACAAAAACAGTACAATTTATTACTAAAAAAAGTGGTTTAAAAATAGCAGGAACTGTGTGATTCATATGAGCGGTGTTTAATGAAAATATGAATTTTAGTATTGACCATTTATAAAATGTCATTTCATAAAAATCTGGGTAAACATTATTAGTGTTTTCATTTTTTATCAATTACATTAATTCAAGAAACATGCCATGTGTAAAATGTAACTCTTGAAAAAACATTTTATGTAATGTTTTAATGACGACATTGTAGAACTGATCAAAAAATGTGCAAAATATCAATCATTTCTAAAGTACATAATAAAATGTACAGTATGTAGTAGACTTTTTTTTTTTTTTTTAGAAATAACGGAACTGTTTTTTTTTTTTTTTTTTTTTAAAGCCCCAAAATCCTCCCCAGGAAGCACAGAGGGAGGCGGAGCATCAGCTGGCACCTGCCTTTATATGGGCGTGGGCGGAGCTGAATGGAGCATGAGGAGGGGTGTAAGGGGAGGTGAGGGCGGGTCTACAGGTCTGCTGCGGGCAGGTGGCTGCAGCCCTGTGAGATTTTGGAGAGCACGCGAGCCAGCGCCCTGTTCTCTGCCTGCAAACGCTCGTTATACTGACGCAGAGACTGCACCTGCTTTACCTGAGGAAGATTCTACGAGAGACAGAGAAACAGAAAGAACGATAGAGAAGATGATAGACATGAGACAAAAATAAATGCAAAAAAAAAAGGAATAATGTATTAACGTAAACTGTTAAAGTGAACGATAGATCACTGAAGGAAAAAAAAAAATGGGATCTCAAAAATAATTCAAAGAAATTGAACAGGAAAAAGATGCGCAGACACACATACATTCGCTTGGCTATAAATGGGGACATTTAATAAACTTTAGGTAGTCGTGGCCAAAAGTGGGCTTCAGCACACTTCCAAGTGGACATTAAGATGATTTAAAATTGTATAAACAAAACAAAAATTCAAACGCTAAAACAGCTAAAAATCAATACATTAGCTGACATCCTTTCTTATTTTAATCTTATTTTAATTTTTTTAAAGAAATATATTTTTTCTAGTTATTTCAAACTCTAGCATTTTTTTATCAGGTAGAATTTGCTATGTGCGAGTACAAAATAATAATAAAAAACCTGTAACCACAAATAACTAGCAATTTCATTGGCAATTAAAAAAAGTGAATCCTGAATAACATTAGTTATGGAAAGTTTTAGAATAATAGAATTTTAAGATATATTTTAATATATTACAACCAGCTTCTGTAGATTTTTTTTTTTTTTTAACAAGCAGCTTTGTCATTATAACAAGTATCAGAAATATCTTGGGGGGCCTTCAAATATTGTCTTTGACAATAAGGGGCCCTTGGAGTTAAAAAGTTTGGAAACCACTCCTAGACTAACCAAAAAATAAAAAACACAAATAAATTATATATAAATTACTTATTTTGTAAAATTTAAATGATAAAAAGGGTACATATCGGTTTTAGAAATGAGGACATCCTCCGATGTCCCCAAATTTTTGCTAGATATTCTGTGGACATATTGTCCTCAATGTATAGATTCACATGCACACAAATTCACACACAGACTCTTAAGAAATGGGGTGAATTCAGTGGGGAATATAATACTGAAATACACAAATCCATCATGTCGCAGAAAGATTAAAACACGCAAACCAAAGGCAAGAGAAAACATCTAACATAACTCTTCGACACAGACGCCTTTTAACATTAACTTGCTTGTAGTCGCCACAAACATGCATTTATACAAATTTATCACACATTAGAAAAAAGAGGTAACTTGTCATAGGATATGCATGTTAGAAAAGAGATTTGAAAGGATGTACAATATAACAGTATGGCTGAAACCGGTCAACTGGGCCTTATCACACTCACTATGAAGCAGATATAATGAACAGAAAAGAAAAAAAAACTTCTCACAGTCTCATATACGAGCCGTAATAATCAAACGGGGGGGGGGTCAAAGTTTTGTAGCTTTTAGTCCACGTCTGTTATATTTGAAGTAATCTATATGCTAGTATACTCATTAAAGCTGAAAAAATAGACTAAGCCACATAAACACATTTCTACAAAAATGGACCATAGTTCACTTAAACACGCGGAGTTAGAATAAAGAATTTTCATTCTTGTTTTTATTGATATTAATGATGCACACAACACACACACACTTTAAAAACAAACAAAAAGTACCTTCAGTTCCTCCTCCATCTCAGAGATCTTCCTTTCTAAAGCTCTTCTTTCCTGCAGACACACACACACACACACACTGACAAGTTAGCGCACATGCCCATAAAACACACATAAACAACAGCATGATTCACCATCACTGCAAACAAAGAAAGATAGAGAATCGTGGATGCATCAGGAGAATGAATGTCAAAACAGAGAGAAGTGAACAAAGTGAAGGAAACCACACACTGCTTAGTGAAGCAGATCAAGAGCTAGAAATATAGTTCGGTTTATTCATGCTAACACCAGGTCTGAGCACATTAAGTTACTTAACTGTATAGTGTAATTAAATTAATTATTATTATTTAAAAATGGTTAAATAATTGCTATGTTTATAATTTTATGTATTACTAAAAATGATATAATACAATGTAAATCATACAAATAAAATAATATAAATAATAAAAAAAAATAATTATAATAATAATTACAAATTTAATTTATTAAAATATATGTTAAAAGTAAAAAAAAAACAAAAACAGTTCAGTATGTGTATATAGGCATGTGTACCACGTTTCAACGACAGACCAAATTAGTGCATAATTTAAGGAATAATGTAAATAATTAACAAATATAAATGACGTTAAATACTGTAAATGGATGTAACAGGAACCAAAAAAAGTTTTGGAATGATTTTCACACGCATGCAGATACAATGTTTGAAACAGAAACCACACCATACTCTATATCTCGCATGATATATTATTCTTTTCCATAAGTCTGGAAAGGTGTGTCGCTTTAGTGATTTCAAGAAAAGAGTGAAAGAGGGATTGTGATTGGCTGATGGGGTTTGGTTCTAACCCCTCGGGCTGTGAGAGGCACGTGATTCAGCCACTAGCAGAGCTGTAACACTTTAAAATTCAGGTTAAACGTTACCCAAAGCACCCAGCTGAGCCTGAGACCTGCCTGCAAACTTCAGACATAAACCAGTGCGGAACGGTTACAAGGCCAGAAGTCAGCATTTATCTGGATCAGTTTGTAAACATCTCCAAAATCTCAGCATTTGAGTTGAAAGATGCTGATATGGGGCTTTATCTATTAACGATCCTTTATGGATTCAATGCCTCATCACTGCATTAGAGTGAAGTACACATGCTCCTCCACTGCCATGGCACATTAACTTGGATGGGGAACGATGATTCGATACATTAAAACTCAACGGAAATGTTTCATGAGACAACAGATTCAAGTAACAGTTGTTTTTACCCTTTTCTCCATCTCCAGCTGTGATCGATCAGCAAAGCGCTCCTGCCTCTGCAACCCAAACAACACAATGGATGAGCTCAGGACATTTCAAATCATTTGTCATTTTCGGCGTTTTCTTTTTATGATTATTATTCATTTTTAAATCATTTTAAAGAAACTGCAATCACAAAAAGCTTCTGGCCTATTCTACTCTTTCTTTTTCTGGCCTGGAATCATATTGGTTGGATTTATTTGGATTAATTCTGATTATTTATTTCTTTATTTCATTGAATAACTCTAGCAATTTCTATTCTTTCTTTTCCCAATCTAAACTTAAACTCCCACTTTAAGATATTTCCAGGGTTTTCCATAACCGATGCAACAAATCACTGTGACAGTATTAAAATGACAGTATACATTTTAACAAGGTGATCAAAGAATTTTTATTTTTTATTCTATTTCATTTAATTTCAATTCACAGCCTGTTATATTTCTAAGTTTGTGGCAACCCTGTCTGATCCAACAAAGCAGTGTGAGAGTATTATCAATAATCAGAATTAATTCGGATTCATTTATTTATTTGATTGAATGATTCAAGTCATTTATTTCTTTTGATTCTAAATTCCAATTTGAATATATTTCCAGGTTTTCCACCACTGACGCAACAACACACTGTGACAGTATTAAAATTACAGTATAAATGTTAACAATTTGAGGAAAAAAGGTGTTTAGGCAATTGAAGAAAAAAATAAAGTTGCTTATTTTATTTAATTTATTTTAATTTCTTTCTTTTCCCAGCCTGGAAATCATACTTGAAAATTCACTCATATTTCTAGGTTTTCCAGGACAGTGGCAACCCTGTCTGATGCTACAAAGCAGTGTTAGAGTATTATCATTATCACAATTCATTTTATTGTTAAAGAATGAATTGTTGGTGTTTTTTCCCACAATCAATGATAAAAAAAATCTTTGAGTGCAGATGATACATGGGCAAAGTCTCTCAGAAAGTGAATTGTGGACAGGATCTGACCTGCGTGGCTTTCTCCAGCTGCAGTTTCAGGTCTGCCAGCTCCAGTTCTGTATCTCGTAACTGAGCTTTCAACTTCTCGTTTTCAGCTAAAATCTGCTCATAAAGCTGCAAGCGGAAAGAGCATGTTGGGTAAACACTCAACCGGTAAGGAAGCCACTATTTTATGGGGCGTAATCATACAGCGCAAAGTTTGTACCTTCTTATAATCAGTGGTGTCGTCTCTTTCGAAGCGAGAGTACGGCCGCCGGCTCTCCCCAATGCCACGGCTACTCAAAGACTCGTAACGGTCGAGGGAGGAAGTGCTAGTAGAAACAGGGTCATTCCTGAGGGGGAAAAATGAGGGTTACTTATATTATTCATTTGGGTTCTCATAATAAGCATGAACACATGCATATTTAGCTGCTCTTAAGTGTTTTTTGGGATACATACCTGGATAGTCTGTCGCTCTGTGGATGTGAACAGAGAGAGAGAGAGAGAGAGAGAGAGAGAGAGAGAGAGAGAGAGAGGAAGTTATTACAAAGTCTGTACCTGCTATTAATCAATCACATGCTCATAATTCTTTTAGTGTGTCTGTTTGTCTAGTGTCTAGACTAGCAGAGTGTCTAGAATGCAGATTATCAATTAGTCTGGGATGGATTGTGACGCTCTCATGGCCTGCTTAACGCTGCTATTTAATGAGAGTCTGCACGGGTCGGCAATCTATCATTTACTGCTCTACATAAAGGACGTGTTTGAAGACATCTGGGTGTAATCCATTTGATTTTGCCCTAATAAGAGTCATGCTTCAAAAGGTTTGACTTCCATGCAAGTGTCACATTTATCAACACGGAAGCAAAAGGACTTTGGTCATCATCATTCCCTCCTCCTGCCGTTTTCTTCTTTCTCTGAGCTTCGAGACCTCTCAGCCCTGCTGGGCTTTTCTTCATGAATTCCTGATCAGCAGCCAAGACTTCTGGGTCTGCTCTTACTCCCCAGCCGCTCAAAGCACACACAGAGTATTGGAATGAGTTTGGAATGGCATACTTTTAACTGATGAAATATTTTACAACTGATTTTAATTAGAAAAATTTATATTTGTGCCTATGAACTATAAAGATTATCTTCTTTAGGTCTGGAAACGACAAAAATTCCCTGACTTTTCCAGATTTCTCATGGGAACCCTGTTGCTTAAATTATTTAATTGGACTGCTGGAAAATATTCATATAATATAATATGATATAATATTGAAATACAAATAAAAATATATACACTCATACTCATTATATATATATATATATAATTAACTTGGATGGGGAACGATGATTCGATACATTAAAACTCAACGGAAATGTTTCATGAGACAACAGATTCAAGTAACAGTTGTTTTTACCCTTTTCTCCATCTCCAGCTGTGATCGATCAGCAAAGCGCTCCTGCCTCTGCAACCCAAACAACACAATGGATGAGCTCAGGACATTTCAAATCATTTGTCATTTTCGGCGTTTTCTTTTTATGATTATTATTCGTTTTTTAATCATTTTAAAGAAACTGCAATCACAAAAAGCTTCTGGCCTATTCTACTCTTTCTTTTTCTGGCCTGGAATCATATTGGTTGGATTTATTTGGATTAATTCTGATTATTTATTTCTTTATTTCATTGAATAACTCTAGCAATTTCTATTCTTTCTTTTCCCAATCTAAACTTAAACTCCCACTTTAAGATATTTCCAGGGTTTTCCATAACCGATGCAACAAATCACTGTGACAGTATTAAAATGACAGTATACATTTTAACAAGGTGATCAAAGAATTTTTATTTTTTATTCTATTTCATTTAATTTCAATTCACAGCCTGTTATATTTCTAAGTTTGTGGCAACCCTGTCTGATCCAACAAAGCAGTGTGAGAGTATTATCAATAATCAGAATTAATTCGGATTCATTTATTTATTTGATTGAATGATTCAAGTCATTTATTTCTTTTGATTCTAAATTCCAATTTGAATATATTTCCAGGTTTTCCACCACTGACGCAACAACACACTGTGACAGTATTAAAATTACAGTATAAATGTTAACAATTTGAGGAAAAAAGGTGTTTAGGCAATTGAAGAAAAAAATTCAGTTGCTTATTTTATTTAATTTATTTTTTTTAATTTAATTTAATTTCTTTCTTTTCCCAGCCTGGAAATCATACTTGAAAATTCACTCATATTTCTAGGTTTTCCAGGACAGTGGCAACCCTGTCTGATGCTACAAAGCAGTGTTAGAGTATTATCATTATCACAATTCATTTTATTTTTAAAGAATGAATTGTTGGTGTTTTTTCCCACAATCAATGATAAAAAAAATCTTTGAGTGCAGATGATACATGGGCAAAGTCTCTCAGAAAGTGAATTGTGGACAGGATCTGACCTGCGTGGCTTTCTCCAGCTGCAGTTTCAGGTCTGCCAGCTCCAGTTCTGTATCTCGTAACTGAGCTTTCAACTTCTCGTTTTCAGCTAAAATCTGCTCATAAAGCTGCAAGCGGAAAGAGCATGTTGGGTAAACACTCAACCGGTAAGGAAGCCACTATTTTATGGGGCGTAATCATACAGCGCAAAGTTTGTACCTTCTTATAATCAGTGGTGTCGTCTCTTTCGAAGCGAGAGTACGGCCGCCGGCTCTCCCCAATGCCACGGCTACTCAAAGACTCGTAACGGTCGAGATAGGAAGTGCTAGTAGAGACAGGGTCATACCTGAGGGGGGAAAATGATGGATACTTATATTATCCATTTGTGTTCTCATAATGGGCATGAATACAAGCATATTTAGCTGATCTTAAGTGGCCTGGTGTGTTTTGGGATACATACCTGGACAGTCTGTCACTCTGTGGATGTGAACAGAGAGAGAGAGAGAGAGAGAGAGAGAGAGAGAGAGGGGAAGTTATTACAAGGTCTGTACCTGCTGTTAATCAATCACATGCTCATAATGCATTTAGTGTGTCTGTTTGTCTAGTGTCTAGACTAGCAGAGCGTCTAGAATGCAGATTATCAATTAGTCTGGGATGGATTGTGACGCTCTCATTCCTGGCTCTGATGGCCTGCTTAACACTGCTATTTAATGAGAGTCTGCGCGGGTCGGCAATCTATCATTTACCGCTCTACAGTAAAGGACGTGCTTGAAGACATCTGGGTGTAATCCATTTGATTTTGTCCTAATAAGTGTCATGCTTCAAAAGGTCTGACTTCAACACGAGTGTCACATTTATCAAGGTGGAAGTAAAAGGACGTTGGTCATCATTCCCTCCTCCTCTGGTTTCTTTTCTTTCCCTGAGCTCTGAGACCTCTCAGCCCTGCTGGGCTTTTCTTCATGAATTCCTGATCAGCAGCCAAGACTTCTTGGTCTGCTCTTATTCCCCAGCTGCTCAGAGCACACACAGGGTTTTGGAATGAGTTTGGAATGGCATATTAACCACTATTTTTGGAAGTTAGTAGTATGCAGTATGCATACTGTGCACAATATTCCATATGCATGCCCACTTCCTTTAGCTGATTGCCCTGGAAGCACACTGAAGCACTCAGCTGTGTGTCAGAAGTTCATTTTCAATACAGAACAGCACACAAAGAGGAAATGTGTGCTATTAAGCTAACAAAAAAACAGCTGTCTCATAAAGAACCCACAGACACCATTAGATTTTCTTTCATATTGCGGCCCGCTGAACACTTATCATTTGGAACCATCCAACCAAAAACTGATCTTTAGCTCTATTCGGCAATATCTGAGCTAAATTTAAACCTGGATGACACACTTGAAAAAGCGCACTTGAAAAAGTGTTGTAATAGGAGGATGATTTGAGGCGTCAGCTGGTTTTTCTTCCACTTGATATGCGCAAAATATTTCCTGTTCTTCTTCCATTGACCCAACAGTCAACAACAAAGCTTTGTCCTACTCTTTGTTTCTTGACCTTCCTGACTCAAACAAATTGTCACCACTTTTGAATCCCTCATTCCCAGTTTTCCGCCCAACTGCGTGTGATCTGTTTCCAGGATCATGTTGACACAGGATATTTATCTTATCCTCACTGGACTCACAATATCACTCCAGTCACACCAACACTAACAGCTTAAGTACACACTAAGCGCGGCTCATGTGACTAGCCACGTAGTTTCTTTTATCGCTGGAGCCAGAAACTGAACCCTTAACTATTACTGTAATAGGTGACAATCGGCAGGCTGTGAATCAGGCCGACTTTCATTTTTAAGATGACTAATGCTGCTGGGACAATTCCAGGAAGTTGAAGAGAGAGGACAGGGTCAGCAGACAAGGTAATGTGAGTGAATTGTTTGTCCTGCCAAACATGAAGGAAAGTCAATCTGTTCTTTGACTATACAAGGTGAAAGACAGAGAGCTGGGCAGAGGAAGAACCTCAAAGTCCTTCAAACACAGTCCAACACAATAAGCAGCTGATTTATTTAAACTTGGCGTTTGTCTAACTGATACATTTGTGTTAGTAGATGCATTGTAAGTGATATGATGTTCACCTGAGGCTCTCCTTTAGTGCTGCCTTCTTCTGAGTCTGATGGCTGCTCTGGCTCGTTCTCGTCACTCTGTAACAAAGAAATTAATTTCAAATTCCACTATATTCCAACTATAAAAGGGTCCAAAATTAAGCCAAAATTAAATGCTTTGGCATGAACATAAAATTGAGTTAATGACCAGCTGGCAGGTAACTTTTCTTCCTGGCCAGCTGCAATTGCCCAATCAGAAGTAAGTAATCTGGAGAGGCATGCAATAATTGGAATTATTTATATATTTATAACTAGTGGTCGACCGATATTGGTTTTTTGACAGCCGATGCTGATATCTTGGAAAGCAGGGTGGCCGATGGCCGATATAAAACATAATTTTATTTAGTGGTCGACCGATATTGGTTTTTTGACAGCCGATGCCGATATCTTGGAAAGCAGGGTGGCCGATGGCCGATATAAAACCGATATAATTTTATTTATTTTAATGAATATTTAAGAAATCTGAAATCATTTGAAAATGGATTCAAAAATAAATGTGTTAAATTAACAAACTTATACTTCAGATGACAAAGTATTTTTCACAAATAAATAAATATTAATTAAAAATATAATTAAAAAGGAAGTAAACACTGTAACCAACAGGGCAC